CCATATGGCCAGTCAGGAAGTCAGATGGTACTTGGAGAATAACAGTAGACTACAGAGAACTAAAGTCACGCCGCTGATCCATGCTGCCGTACCCAACATTGCCTCCCTCATGGATACATTAAGTAGAGAAATAGAAACATATCACTGCGTTCTGGATCTAGCAAATGCATTTTTCAGCATTCCAATTGCTAAGGAATCTCAAGACCGGTTCACGTTCACATGGGAGGGCAGGCAGTGGACTTTTCAAGTCCTACCTCAGGGATACATGCATTCACCTACTTTTTGTCATAACTTGGTAGCACGTGACTTGACAAATTGGAATAAACCATCTACTGTCAAAATGTACCACTACATCGATGATTTGATGCTAACGTCCAACTTGATCGAGGCATTAGAGAAGACAGTACCATCATTAATTTCTTATTTAGAGGAAAAAGGATGGGCTGTAAATCCACAAAAAATACAAGGACCAGGGCTATCAGTTAAATTCCTGGGTGTTGTCTGGTCAGGTAAGACTAAGGTGTTACACAGTGCAATCATAGAGAAGATCCAAGTGTTCCCGTTTCCCACGAAACCAAAGCAGTTGCAGGAATTTTTGGGTCTATTAGGATACTGGCAATCCTTTATACCCCATTAGCACAACTGCAAAAACCTTTATATTGATTAACAAAAAAAGGCCAAGTATGGGATTGGGGTAGAATGGAACAAGAAGCCTTCCAGCAAGCAAAAATAGCTGTTAAGCAGGCCCAGGCACTGGGTATATTTGATCCAACCCTTCCAGCCAAACTAGATGTGCATGTAATCCAAGAAGGGTTTGGCTGGAGGCTGCAGCAGTGCCAGAGTTTTGTTTGAATCCCCATTGGGTTCTGGTCACAGATCTGGCATGGAGCAGAAGAGAGATACAGCATTGCTGAAAAGCAGTTATTGGCTACCTATTCTGCATTGCAGGTGGTAGAACCAATAACTCAGACTGCAGAGGTTATTGTTTAAACAACTTTACTGATTCAGGGATGGGTAAAAGACCTAACCCACATTCCTAAGACCACGGTGGCCCAATCACAAACAGTAGCACGCTGGGTCGCCTGTCTTAGTCAGAGAAGCCACCTCTCATCTTCTCCACTAAAGGAAGAACTGCAAAAGATACTTAGGCCAGTAACATATCACAGTGAGACACCTGAGGAAATAGTGGTTACTTCTCCAAAGAGTCCTGTGCAGGAGGGGAAATACCCTGTTCCAGAAGATGCCTGGTACACACATGGATCCAACAGGGAACCCAAGTAGGTGGCGAGCTGTCGCATACCATCGCTCAGCTGAAATGATATGGTTTGAAGAAGGGGATGGACAAAGTAGCCAGTGGGCTGAGCTACGAGATGCGTGGATGGTGATAACTCAAGAGCCTGGCAACAGGACACTGAACATCTGCACGGATAGTTGGGCAGTCTACTAAGGGCTCATGCTCTGGATAGCACAGTGGGCCACTCAGGATTGGACGATCCATGCCCGATCAATCTGGGGCAAAGATATGTGGGTTGATATATGGAATGTGGTTAGGCACAGAACTGTATGAGCATACCACGTCTCTGGAGTCACCCTTGCAGTCACCAGGCAATGATGAAGCTGACACACTGGCTCGAGTCCGATGGTTAGGAAGTACATCAGCAGAAGACACAGCCCACTGGCTGCATCGCAAATTACGACACGCAGGACAGAAAACCATGTGGGCAGCGGCTAAAGCATAGGGGCTACCCATACAGTTACCAGATATGTCCAGGTATGTCAAGACTGTGGTGCTTGCTCACAAATGAGACCAATGAGACTATGGCCCACCTCGCTAGAGGACACAAACCATTACAGTGATGGCAGATCACTGATCGCAGATATAGGTCCCCTTCCTTGATCTGAGGGGGCCAGATATGCCCTAACCTGTGTTGATACAGCGAGTAGATTGATGCAAGCCTATCCTGTAGCAAAGGTCAAACCAAGCCTATACCATCAAAGCTCTAACTAGGTTAATGGAGTCATATGGGACTCCTGAGGTCATTGAGAGTGACCAAGGTACACATTTCATAGGTGCAACTGTGCAGAAGTGGGCTGAAGACAACAACATTGAATGGCGGTTTCACCTGCCCTATAATGCAATCGGAGCAGGCCTAATGGAAAGATATAACAGGATCCTGAAGGCTGCTCTGAAGGCAGATTCACAGTCCTTGCAGGGGTGGACCGAGAGGCTTTATGAAACCCTGCGAGACTTGAATGAGAGACCAAGAGATGGCAGACCCAGTGCTTTAAGAGTGTTGCAAACAACTTGGGCCTCTCTGCTTAGGATCCAAATTACAGTCAAGGACACCTCACTCAAGCCACAAGTTGGCACCATGAATAATCTTCTGCTCCCTGCCCCTGAGGACCTAGAGCCTGGGAGACACAAGGTAAAATAGCCTTGGAAGGTACAAGCAGGACCAAAATGGTGTGGTCTCCTTGCACCTTGGGGGAGATTGTTAGAGGTTGGGGGGGATCAGTAAACCCTCCAGTAATCGGTGCATGGCCAGCAGAGGTAGTAGTTGACACCCCTGTTTTCAATGCAAAGGGGACATTAATTATGTTCATGTAGCAAATTAGAACCTCGCCTTTGGTACCTGATATAGTGATTCAGCCACAGATATCAGGCCAAAGGGTGTGGTATCAAAGACCAGGACGTGCCCCAATACAGGCAGAGGTGTTGACTCAAGACCGAAATACGGCCTGTATCTTACCATGGAGAGCAGACCTACCCCTTCTTGTACCTATTAAACATTTGTTTTACTCCCCTTGAGGTTATAAGTTCACAGGATAGCCAGCAGGAGCAACATCACTCCAGCATGCTCCAGTGTCTATGAGGAAACATCGTGACACCCTGTGGTGAACTGCTGAACTTTTGGGAACCAGTGAGCATGAATCAGAACTGCTAATGGCCCTTGAAGAAAATATGCCTTGAGAAAGAACATAAAGTACTGGCCCAACAGAACTGCCAATAATTGCCTTTTTTGTCTTAGCATTCTACATTGCAGCGGGTATTGTACATGTGTCGCGATGTACATTTGCTCAGTCATTGGTTCATGCTGTGAAGGGGTGGAGTGTAGTGGAATTCCAAGGTCACAGCCTGAACCAATAGGTGAGCTACGTGAGTGCCTGGAGCAAGCGGGGTGGGGTTTAGAGCCACCCCTTTTGTCTCCGTGATATTTCCCATGCCATCTGAGTCTGCACTGGTCCCCCTTTTGTCCCTGCCTTTCTCTGCTGCAGCACGATGGTACGAATTGGGGAGGGTCACATTCCTCAGCTCATCCTTTTCTCCAAACTGTTACTGGGAGGGGTGAGTTAATTCCTCTTGGATATCTTTTCCTATAGTACCTATTTCTCAAATAAAAGCTCTGTCATTGCCTTCGTTTGCTCTACACACACTCACCAAGTTAGGATGTTAGCCAGAAAAGGAAAGTAATGCCCTTAGTGATGCTCCAGTAGGCTTGACCACTAATACTGATTCTATCTGACATGCAACTTCATGAAGTTGTTTCTATCAGCCCAAAGACATGGCTGTGAGCACTCCAAAAGCATTTATTGTGCAAATTTTAGTGATCATTCAAAATCAATATATCAGAATATACAAAAGCTGAAGATTTTTTCTAACCAGTTGCAGGTAAACACAGAATTGGATCCTCAGGGATTCTTTTTCAGGTTGCAGAAACTTGGGCCATGGGCCAAACGTGTATGTTCTTTTTAATGGATTTAACAGTATTTCTTGTCATTATGCTATGTTTGCCTTGTCTCTATTCTTACATTTAGTGTGTTGTCAATCAAGGCCTTGACTGAGTTATAATGATTATGTTATTAATATGATTAGTGTTATTATTTTATAGTATGGAAATAGTTTGCTAATAAACAGATAAAGGGGGAATTGTGGGAATACAAGAAAAACTATTCAGAGCAGCAGCTGTGGAGCAAGATAAACAGCATGAGAACCAAGGACACCTCTAGAAGAGAAAAAGCAAAAGGAATGGTTCATGGCTCTGATTGGATAAGTGCCCGCATGCACAGTTATAGAGTGTTTGTGGAATACTCTGTTGACATGTAAAGTTGGATGGGAAAGTTGTAAGGACAGATGGGAAAGCTAAAAAAGGAAACTTGTGAATGTATAAGTGATGTGAGAAACTGTAATAAATGATTTGGATTGTTCACATCTGAGTCTGTGCATCAGACACTGCACACACATGCACCTTCAGTGGGATTCTTGCATATTATGAATCTAGAGCACGTTGTATTATACTTAACACAGCATTTGCTTCTCACACAGCAGTTGCTATGAATTAAGTTGAGAAAGTCAAAGAGGTAGAATGCAAGCTGTTCACTTATATATATATATATACATGTAAGGAGCAGAAGAGAAGTTCTAGAAATACTCATTTCATTAAATGAAAAGCACTTTCATTATAACCTACAAGAATTAATAGCTGCAGTCTTTAGCCAGCCTGCTTCCACTGCTGTTTCCCTTCAAGTGAGAAAATGGATGCGGTTTGTGCAACTTCAACAAAACTTCTGTATACAGCTGAAAATAGTAATTAGAGGACTGAAGTGTTGACCAAGGAAAAACTAGGTTTTTGTTTGTTTTAAAGTGGAAGTGTAGGTTCAAGTAAGTCCCTCCAATTACAAACAAGATTATCAAATATAAAGCCTATGGCAGTGTTATGAGCAAAGAGCTGTGTTAGGCACTACCAGAATACACAAATTAGAATCCACATAGTAATAAAAATCAAAATAAATTGATTAGAAATTGTGAACGTACAAAGCATGTGATTCAGTTCAAAGAACCAAAGAAAGCTGTACATAAATACAAGACAGGTTTCAAAGAATTTTTCAAGAATCAGAAGCATGCAACTAATTTTTTAAATTAGCTTATTCATGACAGCTTATATCTCCATTTAGTCACTTCTTAAGTGGCTGTAAGAAATGTCAAACACAACAGGACTTACCTTGGTATTGTCACACACTTTGTATTGCAGTTCTGAGTGGTAATGGCCTTCTCAAGCTCATCCAGCTGTCCTGTTTTCTTTAGCTTCTTGACCAAGCTTTTCACTGCTTTTTCACACCACTTCTCCTCCTGTCCATTCTGCTCACCACCACCAGCCCCTCCAGAGACACCAGCAGACTTCTTCCACCCAAGAAGTCTCTTCACAACCGGTGGAGTGAATGGCAGTATGGATGACATGACTTCCACCAGACAGAACGCTCAGCACACAGTTAGATATTCCTGTCCAATCCCTAGAAACGCAAACCAAAACAGACACATTAGCACTGAGGTTTCACTTGAGAATGTTCTTTGCTTAGAATCTTCTATTAACAAATGCTGTAGGACATACCATCTCCAAACAATTAAGGTAGGAGTTCAGGACATGGATCTGCAATTCACTCCAAAGTTTAGTGATGAACTCTACAGCCTACAGATAATCAACCCTCCTATACATCATTTAATGATTTTCAAAATACTTGATGACTTCAATTAAGGATATTTAAAATATCATTTTGCAGGTACCCAAGTGGTGCAGTTGCATTTGTTTTGATACCCTTCCACTCAGTATCAACTACCCACTCAGGACATTAATATATAAAATTAAAGATCAGGAAGGATGCTGAAGCTTAAGCTGTGTCTGGCATTCACTCCTATTTGTACTTTAAACCATTTAAAATAAATGATAGCCAGTAAAATATATATATATATATATATATATATATATATAGTGTGTATATATATACTTATAGTTTTGCAGCTTGTATTAGGCTACTTTCAGGTATTAAAATATAAGCCCCAAATGAGCTGTATCATTTTGGGCAGACAGCTGTTGGAGCTTGCAGCATCACTGCATTAAAGTCAAAACTAATCTTATATCCAGGCAGTAACTGGGTATTTGAATTCCATAAAGTTATCTTAGTGCCAAACTAGTACTAAATGCTAACTTCATGCTATTCAATCAGAGCTTTCGAGGCAGCTCACGCACACACTGTGCAGGGAGGGACACTCCTCATTTCTATCAAAAGTATACCTCACCTAGTAAGGTTTCCCATCTGCAAAACAGCAATGGTTTATTTGGGACACTTCAGGTTACAGCATTCCATGCTGATTTCTGCTTTGTCATACCTTCACAATTCATATAAGGGTGTAACATGAGAAGAACTTTCTGTTCTTTCAATGGTGTGAAATTATTACACAATTGTGGCCAATACATCAAGCTGCAGGTCAAATTTTACAGACTGCATAAGCATTACACTGGAGCCTTAACTACAGCAAATCAGATTTAAGTCTTGCAATAGACTAAAATGTAGAAAGGCCACACATCTCAGATTTGCTTTGCATTTGAACTCACATTTTTCAGACAGCCTGAGGCAAAAAAAAATCTTCCTTTCCAAAAGACTAACAGTTCAGCCCTAACTAATCAGAATTTCCCACTATTGTTTACTTAATTTTAACCAGTTCCCCTTAAGTACATTTACTAGTTCTTGTAAATGCCTTCAAGAAGCATAGGCTTATCTACTGCCCTTGTGGTTATTTTTGCATTAAAACAACTTAATTTCTTTTTACATAGGAGGACATCCATAACATGCTTGCCTGAGTGAGCAGGCGGGTTGTGCCCAGGCAGGCCAGTGGTTACATCGCACCTCATCCCCAAGGGAATAGAGAAAAACAGGTCAGAAAGTTGTGATCCACCTTTGCTGAAGCCTCTTTTCAGTGTTCACTGAGCTTTTGTCTCCATCTGTGCAGCGCTCGAGCACCCTTTTTTTGACACCATTCTGAGAGCACAATGGCTCTCCACCACCCAGCAGAAGTCAAGCAGGGGAGGCAGGCAGCCAGTGTGGCTGAGCAAGGATCTGCAGCTTAAACTGAGGAAAAAGAGGGAAATGTACAGGAAGCGGAAGCAGGGTTGTGTAGCCTGGGAGGAATACAGGGCTGTTGTCCATGTGTGTAGAGATAGCATTAGGAAAGCCAAGGCACAGATGGAGCTGACCTTGGCGAGGGATGTGAAAGATAACAAGAAGGGATTCTACAGGTACCTAGACAGGAGAAGACAGGCCAAGGAGAGTTCCCCCTCTGACAAAACGCAATGGAGAGATAGCTTCCTCAGACATAGAAAAAGCTGAGGTACTCAATGAGTACTTGGCCTCAGTCTTCACTGGTGGTCAGGCTTCCCATGTCTGCCAGGACCCTGAATCTCTAGGTGAGAGTGTGGGAAGCAGATTCTGTCCCACTGTAACAGTAAAACAAGTCCGAGACCTCCTCGCACAATTGAATGTATATAAGTCCATGGGGCCAGATGATATCCATCCTAGGGTTCTGAGAGAGACGGCTGACAAAGAGGTGATCTAAGACAGCCAGCATGACTCCACCAAGGGCAGATCTTGCTTAACAGATCTGGTGGCCTTCTATGATGAAGTGACAGCATCGGTGGTTGGGAGAAGGGCGATGGATTTCATCTTCCTGGACTTCTGCAAAGCCTTTGACATGGTCCCTCACCACATCCTTCTCTCTAAATTAGAGAGGTACAGATTTGAAGGATGGACTGTTCAGTGGATTAAGAACTGGTTGGGTGGTCGCAGCCAAAGGGTGGTGATCAGTGGTTCTACATCAGGGTGGAGGCCGGTCACAAGCAGTCTCCCTCAGGTCGGTCTTGGGACCAGTGCTCTTTAACATCTTCATCAATGACATAGACAATAGAATCGAGTGCACCATCAGAAGTTTGCAGATGACACCAAGCTGAGCAGTACTTGAAGGGAGCGTATAAACAGGAGGGAGAATGGCTGTTTACGAGGGTGGATAGTGACAGGACAAGGGAGAATGGTTTTAAACTGAGACAGGGAAGGATTAGGTTAGATATCAGAAGGAAGTTTTTCACCCAGAGGGTGGTGATGCACTGGAACAGGTTGCCCAAGGAGGTTGTGGATACCCCATACCTGCAGGCATTCAAGGCCAGGCTGGATGTGGCTCTGGGCAGCCTGGTCTAGTGGTTGGCAACCCTGCACATCGCAGGGGGCTTGATACCATATACCACAGCTGCAGACTAAGATTCTGGGAGGCTTGGACTTCTTTTAGCAACAGTTATGCCATGCCAGGGATTTGCCAGCAGTATTATTTGCTAGATTGTGCCTTAAAACTGCAGTTCTGAGTACTCAAGGGTTAAAAATGGAACTACCAGTTTCAGACTGCTGGCACACAGGGAACAGGGAACACGTTTTTTTACATGCAACATATTAAAGCTGGAAAACTTAACACCACTGTTTGGCAATCTGTTTCATCTCTACCCTCACAGCATATTCCACATACACATATTTCTACAGTTGGTCTAACAGTGTGATAGCTACCAAGTGACTCTCACTCTTGGTTTGCTGTGGAAAAAAGCACGTGCTTCCTCTACAGTCTACTAGCGTAAGACCTCATATTTTGGACACTCTTTTCTCTCTCATTTTGTTTGATTTTGTTGAATTTAGTAAACTACCGTTCCTCCTCAGATCGTTGCTGTTGTTTTTTTGTTAGACCCATCTGCTATCTCCCTACCCTTCTCCCTCACCCAGAGTGCACAGCCGACAATGTGCCATGCCATGCCTCATTAGTCACGGCCCGAGCCAGCCACGCTGCGCTGTTAAAAGGTAGGGTAGTTTTTTTTCCTCTCTTTTCTCTCCCTCTGGGCTTTGCGCCCTTGTCACAGACTCAGATCTAGAGAGAACTCCATGGCAACGTCTGATACACACTATAAACACAGTGGCACCACAAAAAATATCAAGAGATTTCTGGCAAATTTATTCTAAAGCCTTATGAGACATATTCCATACGAGTCTGCTTCTTCATCCCAAACCTGAAATAAAGAAATCTGATCTGTCCTGGTTTTACTCTAAGTTTTCTGGCTTAGAATAATTTCATTTTTAAGTCCTCTTCAGGAATAAAAAAGACAGAAGCTAAAAGAAGCTTGAGGAAAAATCCTTTGTGGCATTTGAGGGAGTCAGAAAATGTATTTCCTCTCAATTTCAGTCCAATTTTGTGATAGTTTTAAAAGGCTTTTTTATTAATCCTAGAATTTGGATGAGATTCTATACCAACTTTACTAAGTACACAATGTTTTACATATGTTAGAGAAGGGAATATCCACTCCTCAACACATGCCTCCCTAGGATAATAAATCCTTCACAATAAGGGCATTAATTGAAGCACAGCCTACTTAAGACAGCAGCAAGACCTTACACTAGAACAAATAACACTGAGAGATAAAGCTTTGAAGTGCATAGCTTATGTAGTGTGGGAATGGAATGTTGTTTCTGCATTTGATATTAAAAAGAGCAATTGGTTTGAAAAAGTAGAACATAATGCATTTATATTCTATAACTTATCCTTAAAAATAGTTGATCTACAAAGTAAAATACTGCATACGTTAGCCGCATGTTTTAAAAACATCACTAAATTATGTGATTAATTCTTTCTTGCAAAACTATAGTATTAGCTTGTATAATCAACAAATATTAAGATGCTATAATTACAAAATAAACAAGAGCTAGGCAAAGCAGATTAAAATAACAAAAAGAGAACAGATCTCCAGAAGAGACCCCTCCCTACTGGTAGCCAGCTCTTAAATAGGTCTAGGAGAGGTGGAGCCAGGCTCCACCCCTTCCAGCAGCACAGGCGAATTGCCTTCAGCTGTGCTCCTCTGGCTGACTCATGACTCCCCTCAGGTGCTCAATCAGAGGTTCAGGCCGTGACTCAGCAGTTCCCATACAGTTGTTAAATGTTCCAAACAATACGAGCACAGTGTTAGGGATTAGAAAACATATTGTAGAGTTGTTCTGTTAGGATA